CCGTCAAGCGCAACCACCTCGCGACCGCGCTCCGCAAGGCGCTCCGCAAGATCTTGAAGTCCCTCGACGACGCGGACTTCACGCGCATCAACAAGCTCAACATCGGCTTCACGGGCCTGATCCACGGCCCGAAGATGGCCGTCAAGTTCCTGGGCCACAACAGCCAGCTCCTCGACCGCGTCTCCGCGCTCCACCACAGCGGCCAGAGCTTCGCGGCCATCGCGCGCCTCGGCGCGAACGTCGACGCCTCGGTCGCCTGCCCCGTCTTCGCCGACCTGGAGTTGGCGCTGGCGAGCGGGCCAAAGGTGGGCTTCGTCGGCGAGTACAACGCCCGGTGGCTCGCCACGCGCGCCGCCGCCCTCCTCGGCCTCCGCTGCCCGGCGCAGGCCCGGACGACCTGGCGCGAGGCGACGCGCGTCCTCGGCGTCCTCGGGAAGGGCGAGGACGACGGCATCAAGACGCTCAAGGCCCGCGGCGAGACGCCCCTCACCGTCCTCGAGGCGGCCGGGTGCGCCCGGGCGGACGTCTGGTTCCTGTCCATGGCCATTTGCCTCAAGGGCAAGCGGCGCTAGGGTTAGTTGAGCTAGTCCGAGTCCTCCGAGTCCGAGTCCTTCGACTCCGACTCGATCTCCGCGGCGTAAGTCGTATAGAAGACGCCCGCGCCTAGGCTTCGTGTCCTTAGTACTCTTCTTAGGCTTTCTTCTAGGCCGCGCCCGGCCTAGCCGCGGCGCTGCTTCTTCTCCGCGCGGTCCTCGTGGAACTTGACGAGCTCGCGCTGCCGCTCGCGCGCGGCCTTCTCGGAGGGCCGCTCCTGCGTCGGCGCGGCCTTGAGCGCGGCGGCGAGGTCCGCGCGCGCCCGCTCGAGCTTCTGCAGGTCGGACGGGGAGGAGTCGCTCTCGCACTTGTGGTCGAGGACCAACCAGTCGATCTGGCGGCCGTCGCCGTCGGCGCCGCTCACCGTCCGAAACCCGACCGCCTCGAGGAAGGTGACGACGCCGCGGCAGTCCTCGAGCTTCTTGAGGATGACGGCCTTCTTCACCTACGGACCGCGCGCGTCGCGCGCGCGGCGGAAGAACGACAA